CGGCTCCACAATAACCTCCTTCACTTATACCCCTCTGTCTACATCTTCGCAATGACTTTCTGGTTCCCCTTTCCTCTCCCTAAATGTGAGAAATTGTCAAGCTTCATTATCAGTTATCCCCAAAGGTCTCAGAACTCCTGACATGGCTCTGGAGTTGACACTCCACACCTCCAATCCACTGCAGGAAACTTCTGCTTGTATATCCCTGACATCTCAAATTCAATACATCTAAAACTGAAAAACCTTCTTGCCCTGCCTATCTTCGCTCACACCACAATTCGGCCAGACTTAACATCTCTAAATTTCCCCTCTTCCCACTTTTCACACCCAATAAGCACCAAGTCTTGTAGGTCTCTGACATCTTCTCCCACTGCCTCCACCAGGAGGCTCCTCGCTGCCTCATGCCCAGGCTGCTGCCATCCTCCCACACACAGATTCCCCAGTCTCTCAGGGTCACTGCTTTTGTCCCACCTCTCCCACACTCATTAAGGCTCTAGGCTCTTCACTGTCTAGAGCATAACGCTAAACAAAAGGTGAGACCCTGAGGATCCTCTGCAAACTCCCCGAGCTCCACCTCCTGTCTTCCCTCTGACCCCTCCTGGACAGGAAACACCAGCTCTCTGCTGCCACTGCCCTGGCCCAGTCGCTGTCACCTGAATGCACCCTGAACTCACCAAAGTGCTCACGTCTGTCTCAGCTCATCTTGTTCCCCACCTCCAACTCACACATCCCAACACTGAAAACACGACTGATCTTTTCACAAATAGCCTAAACCTTCCCCTTCCAGAAAGCCTCCTTGAATGACCCCACCCCCATCCCAAAGCCAGCCCTCCCTCCCTGAACTCTCATTGTTTCCCTCTCTATTCATTTGGAAATTACCATTTGCAACCTTGTATTGTTTTCATTTTTGTTTTTTTAACTTACCTTCCCCAACTGTCTAAATTATAAGATTATTAAAATCAAGAGCTCTCTAAAACTTTTCTTCCCCCTGACTAGATCACTGGTTTATTATAAAAGGATATTGAGCCAAAGGGAAGAGATGCTTAGGACAAACACGGTATGAGGAAGGGAAACACAGCTTGCACGCCCTCTCTGAGCACATCCCTGTCCCCAAATCTCCACAGATACACCAACATGGAAACTATAAATGTTCTCTCCATCTATTCAATAAGCAGTGATCCCTCCTTTCTTTAAACCAGGGGTCAGCAAGCTATGCCAGGCAAGAAGGCCAAATCCAGTCTCTTTGTGAAGGTTTGTTGAGAAGCAGTCACCCTGACTTGGCTACCAAGCTTCAGGGGCTGCTTCACGCAACAGTGTCAGGGCTGCACAGTGGTGACCCAGACCAACGGCCCACAGAGCTAAAAATATTTACATCTAGCCCTTTGCAGGAAAAGTTGGCCAACACCTGTTTTAAATCCCTATAGAAATGTACTCATGACGTGGATCTTTTCGTGCCCTAAGTCACAGTTGTGTGTCTATTTTCCCATCACTGTCACAGACACTTTGACTCCAGGGGAGGGACTGGGTCCCTCTTAGGTCTCAGAGCCCCGCCCAGCAGCATGCCCTGCTCACAGTCAGAATTCACTCGGGTAATAAATGGTAATTCAGTATTCTCTCAATAAGTGAGAGACGTGCTGATCATTTTTAATGCTACACCTTTGCTAGAAGTAAAATTAGTCATTATAAAAATCAAATGAAAATTAAAAATTTTTGACTAGCATCTAACTCCTTTACAAAGCTTCATAGCTGTAATCCGAATCTAACTTTAACTGCTCATTAAATATATTTTGAGGAAAATATTTTTGGAAACTACTTTTTGGATAAAGTAGATAAGAGTCATTTGGAAACAATTCCACATGCCTCATGTATCTAAAGAGGGAAAGTTATCTACTTTGGGCTTAAACTTTTTGAAAAGCACTGAAAATACCATTTCCCATTCTGTTTCACTAAACTGAACTTACTGCTTTAGACCATTAAGAAATATACCAACTCACAGTGGCTGTGAAGTTGAGAGATGGCTTCAAGACTGTAGCATAATCAAAAAATTCAATGATGTAATCATGTTGCTTGAAAAATACATTGGAGCTTGCATTTCTTGAGATACCTGTTTGGGAAATTGCACCTTTTAGAAAGTAAAAGTAATGCTTTACAAGCAACAGCTCCTATCTACCAAATCTCCCCATCTGTGCTACCTCCCAAACTGGTTAGGATATCAAGACACAGGAGCCTCTCTGGCTTGGGCCCTAAGAGGACCATCAGGTCAATTCTGTCCTCTGTGGGTCCCTTCTGAGCACCAGTACTGATCCCCCCATCAATGACATGTGCCCCACACATTCAGGCCACAGACACAACCGTCCTTTTGCTCTTTCAGGGATTGGTGAAACCTATTAAAATAGCAACAGAAAGATCCAAGGAATTAGCCTTTATTTTATTACTAAAAGAGAAAATTGCCTAGGAACCAGTGAGATTTCAGAAGATGTTATATAAAAAAGGAAAAGAGGATCGTTAGTCAGCTGAAAATGTACCCTTTCCATGTGGTTTTCAGGTTGGGAAAAAAAAACTTATAAATACCTATAAAACGTGGCTGAAGTACAGAATTCCAAAGAAAGTAAAGTCTCTCCTTCATTATGAACATATTCTGCAAGTTAGACTAATAGTCATGGCAACATCAGCATTAAATAGCATCCTTAGGCAACGACGGCCTCACAGGAACATGCCAGTTACCATGGAGAAGATGATGGAGCAGCAGCACACAATTGTCTCTACCTGCACTTTTCCACGTCTGCAGACCTGTGAGTGATTCTGTCACCGTGGCTAAAATTTCTACTGGCCCAGGAAAAGACAGAGACATGTGTTCAAGAGGCTCATCCAAAAAATCCATAACCATTTTCATCTCTTCATCATTGAAAGAGAAGTTTGCAGAGCCATTTATCTGTTTAGTTAAAAAAATTTCAATTTCATTCTTCACTTTAGCAATTCAAATCTAAGAAATAAAACTCAACCTAAGTCACAACGATACAATGGCTCTGTTTCCATTTTCATTATTTTAACAAATGTGTACATTCTCACTTGTCTGATGCTAGAAAGATCTTGAGCTTCTTACACTCAACTTTTGTTAATTCAGTACCAAATCTTTTTTTCTAGAAAGAGTATACTTATAGTTTTTCCTGATTACAAGTTGCAAGATATTCTTGAGTTACCTTAAATGTTTTTCTAATATTTTTTTCACACCTCAAAAGGATAAAGGTAAAAATGTAAGTGTGACATCTCCTTTCACTGGCTTCCCATACGTATACCTGGAAAGTAATAAATGGGGCTTAACATGAAAGAATTACATTAAAAACATACTCTTATTACACATTTTTAAAACTGAAAGCATAATCAGGAATGTCCTTAATAAATAGTAATCCTTGAAATTAAGTCTCCAAAATGGGAAGATTCTCAATTGCAATATCTCAAAACAGTTCATAACCCACGCTTGGCCCAGCCTCTAGAGAGCCCAGAGAAACTCTGATCATAATTAGAAGTGACAGTTTTTTGTCAAAAGATTTTTAAAAGATTATGAAAATCTTTTCTTCCTAAACAAATGGATTGGCTCATTAACTGCATGCCCAGGAGACTTTGAAGCTTTTGAATTTTTTTTAATTGAAGTGTAGTTGATTTGCAATGTTGTGCTAATTTCTAGTGTACAGCATAATGATTCACTATACATATATATATTTCTTTTCATACTCTCTTTCATTATAGGTTATTACAAGGTATTGCATATATATAGTTCCCTGTGCTATACATTAGGACATTGCTGTTTATCTGTTATATATACAGTAGTTAATATCTGCAAATCGCAAACTCCCAATTTATCCCTTCCCACCCTCTTTCCCCTCTGGTAACCACAAGTTTGTTTTCTATGTCTGTGAGTCAAAAAGTTGTAAATGTTCATTGAAACTGCACTCACCATGGCCACTGCTGCATGTTCCAACATTAACCAGCTGGATTTATGAGACCAAACATGCCAGGGCACCAAATGTGCTCATGGCTATTAAAAATTCACTTTTTGCAGAAAAACTTTAAAAAAGAGTAATTTTTTAAATCCATCGCACCAACGTTAACTCCTTGAGTCAAATCTCA